GCGCCTGCCTTGAAAGCAGGCAGTCGTGAGTTCGATCCCTGGTACCGATAAAAATGAAAAAGACAAAAAAAAAAAAAATATGATAGTAATTTTACAGTGGTTGTTATCCTGCATATTATTATCTTCAGAATAGTTGCTCAGGTTACCAGAAACAGGAATAAACAAAACAGTAAAACGAAACAAAACATTGGATTTCAAAAGCAAGGCAGAAGGAAATCCCCCCCAGTTTCCACAATGTACATTGCCATCCTCTAAATAAAGGCCGAGACCACCAGCTCTAGGCCTGCAAAGTCAGTCTAACAGTTTAAGTATCAGGCTTTCCTTTCACCTCAGATGCTGTCGCGACCCTGAATCTTCCAAATTAGCCAGTTGCTTGAGGATGGAGAGGTCACTTGTGGTTTTCTAGCCCATATACTGGCTGGTTCATGGGAGTGTGTGCTTTGTCCTCTGGTTGAGTAGTTTCCTGATCCCTATGGCAGCTTCTGTTTCATTGGACGGTGTGCTTTGTCCTGTTGCTAAGTAGTCTCCACCTCATCCCCATAGCAGCCCCAGTTCATCTACAGGTGATTTGTTTCTTTTGTGTAACAGCTTTTAGGATTCTATTCTTGTGTTGCATTTCTGGAATCTTGACTAGGTATGTCTGGCTGTAGATTTTGTTTTGATCATTGCCAATTGGAGTTCTAGATGCCTCACTTACTTATATGTCAAATTCTTTTTCTCTACCAGAAAAGTTTTCTGTCATGATGTCTGTGAACATTTTTTTAAATGTCACTTGTGATATCTTGCTTGTTCATTGATGCAGTTAATCTTAATTTATTCTTTGTCTTGTCTAGCAGCTACAGGATTGATTTCTCATGGTCCCTTGGCATTTTTGAGAAATCTTTCTTTTCATGGTCACTAACTGCAAGCCTGTCTTCAATATCTGAGATCTTTTCCTCACATTGGCCCAGTCTGCTTCAAATAGTTTTAATGGAGTTTTTATTCTCCTGGATATCTGCTTGAATCTGCTTTATGAATTCCATTTCTTTCCTGTGCTGAGCATCCATATTTTCTTATCCATATTTTCTTAAGCTCATGTATCTTTTTTTTTGGTCTGTGTTTGCTCTAATGTCACTATAAGCGTGGTGTGCATTTTGGTAATCTCTGTATTTATTGAAAGATTATTTCTGATTTCATTTTTTCCAGAGCCTTATTCAATTGCTTTGTTGTTACCACTTCAGACAGACTTGGAGGGGGCATTCAGATTGTCCTATCTCATTGCTCCCTGGATTTGCCATGGTGAACTGAATGTCTGGTGTTGCATTTTGCATGAGTGTCTTCTCATTTCATTTTCTCTTTTTTTATTTAATTCCTGGGGTGATGAATGTAAGTTGCCTATGATGAGTTGCTAATTGGTAGTATTTAGGACCTTTAGGTGATGGTTATTTCTCTGAGTTATCTTCCAGGGATAGCTGGTTTTTGGATTTTGAGTCTATTGGAAGAACTTAACCTCTTCAGTTTGTTGGAGATGAGAAGTTATTGCTTATTTGGCTTAGTTTTACTTCTTTGGCACTGTGCTATGGTCTTTTCTGTGACCCTTAGTTAATGTCAGTCATGTAATACTAGGACCAACAGCTGTTTTAGAACAATTATGTCAATTTTGGCTATAGTGATACCAATAACATCAAATAGCCTAAGAAAACAACAAACTGAGCTAACCCTTAATTTGCAACTTTTGACCATATGAACTAGATTTGTGATTATACAAAATGTAAAACAAAGCAGATAATTATATGCAATATAACAGTCTGTAATGTGTCAGTTTTGCCCTGGAGGGTAAAAATTTTAAATGGATTAAGAAGAAAATAGAGAATTGGAAGAAGAGAAAGAGATTAGAAGTAAGGTTGGAGGACAAAGGAGGAACATGCCAACTTGGGGAAACTGGTGCAAAAGATTGAAGGAAAAGAGAGAGAGAAGAGATAAAATGAAGAACAGAATAAAACCATACCCACAAAGGGGTTAGGAAACTCACACTCAAAAGCAATGAAGGAGAAAGACAAAAGAAAAAGGAAAACTAATAGTCCACTTCCAGGATTTTCTCAGGTTTCACTAACACTAGTACACAACCTGAGGAGAACAGAGTCTTGAATCATGCCTAACTATTCCAGCAAGTCAGCAGTTGCTTTATGGCAGGATTGTGGATAATCTCAGCAGGCCTGCCCTGAGACCAGACTCATTGGGCTTGCTGTAATACAAGCAATTTTAGTGGATCTGCACTGGCTTGGAGGTGCTGGATAAAACCAGCAGCAGTTCTGGGTTCTGAGTTCAGCCAGCCCATCTCCAAAACGGCTCCCAGCTTATCACACTCTCCCTGAAGGAGGACAAAGTCCTCTGCACTCACCGCCAACCAGTGCAGTCTTCCACATACACTGCTTCCCTCCACTGCTGTGTCTCCAGACTTGCCCCAGTCTTCATGGTAACCGTGACTATGCGTCCCCAGGTTCAAAGAGCACCTCCCATGCAGTAAGTCCCTTAGCGTGTCAAAGGTGCCACCTGCTACTGCCTTCTTCAGTGAAGTTTTTCTTTTTATTTTCTCTGTGGACTTCAAAATGCACTTTAGATTCTTCCTGAGTCCAAAGAACCAATTCCTTCCTTGTTGTCTTCCTCACAGTGCTATCTTTCATCAACTGGATGGTAACTCATCAACTGGAGAGACTATTTTGTCTGCTGCTTTCTGCTCCTCCCTCTCCTGTGAGCTTGTGAATTAATGCTTTGTTGATCTGCTTGGTTATCCCTCCTGGTTTCATTTCAAATGACTTGGCTGCAGCTTTGGTTTCCTATCTTTTAATGCCCCATGGATCAGCCTTAGGAGAATTGGGAGTTTTTAGAGCCATTTTGTTAGGTTGTTTTACCATGTTCCTGTTTTTATTTCTCTTTTTGTATTGAAGCTTATAGGCAGATTTATTGGAAAGCTTTGTTTTTTAGTGTGGAGACTTCTTTAATTAATATGTACTTTTCAGTCATACAGCTTCCTTGTGGGTAATTATCATCTTTGCCTCTATCTCAGAGGTCACCGCTAATGTATATTTAAGGTGGGAAGTTGCAGAGTATTTGCCCACTACTGGGTTGTCCAGATATTAGTATCTCAAGAAAACTAATTAATATCAGCAGCTATGTAACCATAGTTAGAGTAATAAATTAGTGTCACTTATCATATCAAATACAGAGTGAATATTTATAAACCCTAACAAATAATAAAAGTACTACTCTTAACCACAGAAAAGATCTACAGTTATAATTTGAACAGTAAGAAAAAACAAATATTGATCTTCGGTGAATAGCTACTAAATGGAGCAACTTTCCCCCTATGAACAGAAGATCACTTTTCAACATCAGGTGTGTAAAGTTAACTAGTTAGAGATTCACAAAGCTTAGTAGTTATATTCGTAAAGATAAAAGAGGTGGGAAGCTAGAGAATGCAAAAAGCCAAATTTGAAAATTTAATCAATGGAATATGAGAAGGGGGAGAGCAATGTGACATAGTGCATCCTATTGAGTAGAAGGAAATTAATAGTGTTGGAGAACAATTACAGGAAACAATGAACAAGGCAAAAAAAAAATGACAGCAAAAATAGGAAATAAAAGCAAGAAAGCAGAGAAAATGTTTAAAGGGGAAAAAAGAAAATGAGAGAAAAACTAAAAGAGGAAAAGAAAAAGGATAATGCCTCCCTCCAAAAATAATACCCAGTGAAGGAACGATAAAAATAAAACAAAATAGAGCAATCAGAGGAAGATGGAGTCAAAGAAAAAAATTCCCATGCTACTACTGAATGAATGGTTTCTTTCCAAGTTCTATAGTTCTGGGATCCATCCAGTCATGATTTTTTTGCCTACGTTTGTAGTCTATGTGGGGTTTTTTTGTTGTTTTGTTTTGTTTTTTGTTTTTTTTTTTTGGTACCAGGAATTAAACTCATAACTGCATGCTTGCCAGGCAGGCACTTATGCCCCTGAGCTAAATCCCTGGTGCCTATATGTTTTTGAAGTGCTCTTCCTGCAACAGAGGTTCCTCTCTCCCATTTCCCCCCAGAATGTGGTTATGGCCAAGGCAAGAGCTGTTCTTTCACCTGTTAGATGAGATTGGGTGTGTTCAGGTTGGTATGGCCATAGGTATGTTTCACCTGTTAGTAGATGGGGAATGTGATCAGCCTTCTGCTCTCTGCTGTGTCCAGACTGCAGAGCAGTGGTTTGTTTGGGCTGTTGCATTTAATGTCTGAAATCCTGGTGTTCAGATGACCTCTTCTCTCCCTTGCGTTGTCCTTCTCTGTGACCAGGTCAGTTTGTTAGCTCTCACTTCTGCTCCCATGTGCTATAGGAAAGCAAAGTGTAAAGCCAACCTGGCCTTGTTGGGTAGTTTTGGCTTTGTAGGGGTGCAAGATAGCACCACTTGTCTGGCATGGGTCTCTGTGCTCACATAAGGAAGGGGTGCCACTCAACTTCCAGTCCATAGTCTGCTGGCTACAAGACCAGGATGGCATGGTAAGAGGTCACTGTGGTGAAAGCTGCTCAGTAAGTGGGATCCAGGAAGCAGAAAGGTAGAGAATTGTCTTGCAAACTTGAATTTTTTTTTCTAGTTTAGTTCCATAATGACTAGAGACTGTATTAAGGTCTGTTTTATAGCCCAGAATATGATCTGTTTATGTGTTAAGTGCACCTAAGTGCGACTGATAGTTATTCATATTTCATTGGGTGGATTCAATATCTAGAAAATAGTAGATATCCAAATGTTGTTAGTTAATGCACTGTGATCATCTACAGTTAAATTTTTGCTTTTGCCATCTTGGTTTCTTCTCATGAGCTTGTTAGATTATCACTAATGTGCTTTCTAGAGCTAAGAATTCTGAAACTTTAGAATATAAAACTAAATTCCTTATTTTATAGGTTTATATAGTTTACAGCTTTGAGAGCTCTGTTAAAGATCAAAACTTACATTTATATTCTATAAATGTTTGGACTTCTCACAGGGACGGAAGAAGTCTGTAGTGGCTGTGGAGCCCAGGAGTCTTATTCAAGGAGCCTTTCAAGGGTGTTCAGTGTCTGGGATGACGCTGAAGTACATGTATGGAGTAAATGCTTGGAAGAACTGGGTTCAGTGGAAAAATGCCAAGGAAGAGCAGTTGGATGTAAAGTGTGGAGGTAAATATGCAACATGAATTTGTCTTAAATGAGAGACATACGGGACTAGGGATTTAGCTCAGCAGCATATGAGGTCATGAATTCGATCCCTTGGACCAAAAAAAAAAAAGAGAGAGAGAGAGAGAACTATAAGTAAGTAAGCCCATTAATTTACTCAAAAGGTATATCTAACAAAATTTGAGTTTAGACTTTTCATGTACTCTTCATTTTTTCAACTCATTTGTCTTTCTCATCAATAGGTGAACTTGGCTCATCCAGCCCATCTTCTGACCCCTTAGGAAGTGCTCAAGACCAGCCAGTCTCTCAAGAATCTTCAGAGGCAGGCTGTAGAGGTGAAAGTTGTTTCTCCGCATTCATTATGTTATTTATTATGTTGTTATTCATTTAAATTTGTAATCACATGCTTAAAATTTTGTCTTACAATATTAATAACCTTTGCTTAATTATAAAGAGAATATTACAGAAGGTAAGGTTGTTTCTCACAGTGGTGAGTTTATGATAAAATATCTTCTTCAGCCCTATGTAGTAACCCATACGGAAGCTATTACTGAATTGCACCCTCCTTTCATCTCTCCCTTTCCTCTCTTTCTCTTGTCCTCTCTTCCTGTTTCTTTCTGTCTCCCTCCCTCCCTCACTCTCTCCCTCCCTCCTTCGCTGTCTTGTGCAGAAGCCCTACTTCTTCATAGCAGTTTTTCTTAATAGTTGCATCTGTGTAACTGGCAGTATTTGTGGGTTTCACATCAGCTGCCAAGAAATTTGAAATTATGTAACATTTCAAATAAAGATTTGAAATTATGTAACATTTCAAATGTCAAAGAGTTGTGCCATTTTTCAGTTACATACCTGGGTTTTCATTTACAGTTAGCTTCACCTTCTGGTAGTCTCTTTCTGGTCTTGTGGCATACACAGCCCTGCTTATTGGAGCAGTTAGTGGATGTATTGGGCTGTAACTGACTCACTGAGTTCCTGCAGATCATTTGTAATCTCTCTGCTCCAAAGTAATGTAAATATTCTTGTAGTGTGGGAATTTGTTAGACCTATAACCCCTCCTCACTTTAATACATTCCCACCATGGTTAGCTATAACATCAGACTATTAAATTCAAGCTAGAGCCACCTGGCAACATTCTGTCTTATTAAAGAAAGGTAGCTGGGCTCAATGGCACATACCTAGAGTTGTATCCATTTAGTAGCATCATTTGAGCTTGCAAGCTTAGAAACCAGTCTGGGCAACATAGTAAGACCTTGTCTCAAGAAAAGAAACAGCAAATGGAAACCAAGGGAAGAATAGAGGGGAGAGTTAATATTGTTTTAAGACAACCAAGTCTAAATGCCATTGACAAGGGAAATACCTGTCTGTTTCTACACTCATGCAAGGTATACTGGGTTGAGAGATCAAAAATGGACCTTGTCCTCATAAGCTTCCATTTTCTTTATGCAGAGTCCATGCAGAGGAGCCCAAGTATATTTTTGAAAATGTGTGTTCCTATCTAAATGAGCAGTATCCTATCTAAATGAGCATTTTAATTTTTGGTTCTAACCCACAAAATAGATCAGCCTTGCAGTAGGAGCTTTACAAATCAATGAGATAACTGCCCTACTCAAAATTGTTTTTAATTGTCTTCAGAATCTTAATGAAGATGATCCACTTACACCTGTTTTTGCTTTTCTCCTGTACACTTAAGTCTTTTGAACCTTTCGCTTTGTGGCATAGCAGATGGGATACTTTATTTTAGTGTTTCTAAAGGTATGAGGATGTTTCATGTTATTTGAAATGTTTTGTAATAAAATGTAAGTTAAACAATATTTTTTTTAAAAAGTGTCAAGGTCTTTATCTGTAGGCAGTGAAAATTCTTCAGAGGCAGATATGGCATCTTGCATTTTTCAGATTTATCAGTTCCTAGAAACTCAGTTTTCTCTCTATCTTTCACATAGGATTAGTGTTTGGTTGAATATAGTTTGAGATACCTTTTTGCCTTCTCACATTGGAAATGAATCTTTTTAACTCTTCACCACTTAAGATGTAATCTCAATGTCGCTTAGTCCAGAATATAACCTGACTCTTTTGTATCACATGTCCTTCATTTGCTTTTATAAAATCCTACTTAAGCAAAACCTTTAATACTACCCCTTGCACCCTGTGCACTACACTGTTATTGTTTGCCTACTTAAAAAGCCTAGAGATCAAGATCTATTTTCCATAATCTATACCACAGTGCTAAGCACAGTAAGTAGTAGAGTCCACAAACATTTTTGTTTGCAAAAATTTGGTTTATAAACAGAAGCATTTGGCAAAATGTTTTGCTTGGAAACTCTGCATCAGGTGACAAACATAACGATCTTTTCTAAAATCATAGAACAAATTAAGTGCATGAACCAAGGAACCTCTATACTCAGTGACTCAAATAATGCTACTTTCTCTTCCTCCTGCTCCTCCTCCTCCTCCTCCTCCTCCTTCTCCTTGTTCTTTTCCTTCTGCTTCTCCTCCTCCCTCTTCTCCCTTCCACCTTCTTCTCCCTCTTCCTCTTTTTACTCCTTTTCTTTTTCCTCTTGTTTTTCTTCTGCTTACTTTCTTGCTTTATTTCTTTTTCTTCTTCTTCTTTTTTTTGAGACAGGATTTTACTATATATTTTGGGCTGGCCTTGAACACTGCCTCAGCTTCCTGAGTGCTAGGATTACAGGCGTGTACCACCACTATGTTAATATTTCAAATGTTTTCTATCTTTCTACAGTTCGTTCTGTCAAGTTGAAGGAAGATATTTTGTCCTGTACTTTTGCTGAGTTGAGTTTGGGTTTATGCCAGTTTATCCAAGAGGTGCGGAGACCAAATGGTGAAAAATATGATCCAGACAGTATCTTATACTTGTGCCTTGGAATTCAGCAGGTATCAAATTAAGTAATGTTACAAACTTGATTACAGTTTTAATAATTCTGCGAGAATTTATGAGTGAAACTGAAAATTAAAATGTGTATGTTATCTACTGTTAGTCCTATATATTTTTCTTAATACACCACTGTCCTTAATTTAAAAGTATTTATCATACATCCTTTTATAAGCTAAGACAGTTAGTAGGAAAAAAGAAATTAGGGTGATATATTTTGTATGAACATAAATAGCAACTGATAAAAGTAGCAACATAGATATCTGTGTTGTATGTGTATATAAGTCATACAGTTTCATTTAAAGTTTTAAAATTCAAAGTAAAGTAATAGATATATTATTATTTCTCATATAGGCAGAAATAAAAACAGTATGACACTGTATCCAGGTATGGTGGCAGACACCTGGGAGTCCAGTACTTGCAAGGCTGAGGCAAGAGGCCCATGAGTTTGAGACCAGCCTGAGCTACATAGTGAGACTCTGTCTCAGGAAACCAAAGGGAAAAAAATTATAGCACTCACTGAGAGTGCTGTGAGTTGAAGATTCTTCTGCATAGCTGAAAGCAGTCATATAGTTTTGAGTGTATGTTTCAGGAGTAATTTTAAATTTTGTATTTTTTGGTCAGTAACTCAGTTTTGGCACATCTCTTTAGAACTCTTATTCCAGGGTCTGGGGATTTAGCTCAGCGGCATAAGCGCCTGCCTTGCAAGCAGGCAGTTGTGAGTTTGATCCCTGGTACCGATAAAAACGAAAAAAGACAAAAAAAAAAAAAAAAAAAAAAGAACTCTTACTCCAAAGTTCAGGCACCATTGGTTAAAAAAAAGGTTGGCTATAATATGAATGCCCACCATGTGATGGTTAGGTAAATTATAGTACTTTCATAAAGTATTATATTACTTAGCTGGTAAGTTTATTTACAAAATAGGATGTAGCAACATGTAAAAATATTAATGTCAAAGCATTAAATAGAAAATTAAATGTATGTCATATGTTGACACAGTACTGTATAAATGCATAATAAGATGAAATACACTAAATGTATTTACAGTGGTTATGTCTGGGTGGTGAAATTTAAGATGTTAATTTTCTTTTCTGTGTTTACTAAATTTTCTTTCATGTGTATATGAATTGTTATCTCATCGTTCTGTTGTTTTTAATTACAAAAATGATATGTGGTCGGTGTAACTTTAAAAACCATGAAGTGGGGCTGGAGATTTAGCTCAGCGGCATAAGCACCTGCCTTGCAAGCAGGCAGTCGTGAGTTCGATCCCCGGTACCGATAAAAATGAAAAAGACAAAAAAAAAAAAAAAAAACAACATGAAGTATATACACAAAGTTTATCTTCTTTCCCACATCCCCAGGAGCCATTGTTGAAGCATGATAGGTGTCCTCCACCTCCTCCTGTGTTATACCTTTAACTCATTCGTAGTATTTCCTGTAATTTTTTTTTCTGGAGTTATTTATACTGTTTATTTTTTAAATTAGTAAGTGGCTTTATATTAAAAGTCTATTAAAACTATAAAAATTATCACATGATCATTATAGACAATAAATATTGTGAAACTACTATCAATTTTGACCAAAATATAAATTTATTGTAGATTTTTAATACTTACGTTGACTTTTCGTACTTGTCTGTTCTTTTCTGATTAGAAAATAGTTACACTGAGTACTAGAAAATTTTACCATACAGAAAAGTACAAAAAAAGAAACAATTCTATTCTGGTGCCTACATTTTTACTGTTACTTTAAGATAGAAAAGGCACAAAGAAAGTGTAAACAATAAAAAACTTTTTTTGCGGGGGAGACAAGGTCTTGCTATGTAATTCAGGCTGGACCCGACTCAACTACATAGTCCAGTTTGTTGTCAGACTCACAGTGATCCTCCTGCCTCTGCCTCGTGAGTGCTAGGATTACAGGCATATTTATGTTTCTATAAACTATTTTATTTAATGAATAAACAGCTTTTTTTCTGTGATGATGCTTCTGTAACCAATATTTGTTTGTTTGTTTGTTTGGAGTTTTTGTTTTTTGAGATAGGATTTCACTATATAGTTCAAGCTGGCCTTGAATTCACTATGTAGCCAAGGCTGGTCTTGAACTCACAGCAATGCCTCCCAGTGCTGGCATTGCACCACTATACCTAGCTAATGCATATCTTTTTACACATGTTATACACAGGCTATTTCTTTGAGATAAATTCTCTCTCCCTCTTCCCCTGTCTCTCCCTCTGTCTCTCCCTCTCCCTGTCTCTGTCTCTCTTTTTTTTGTCTTTTTGAGCCAGGGTTTCACTATGCAGTTCAAACTAACCTACAAATCATTTTGTAGCCCAGGCTGGCCTCAAACTCTCAGTCATCTTCCTGCCTCAGACACACTGGCAAATTGTCCTCCATATAAATTAAGGCAGTTAATAGTTCCATTAGCCATCTGATTTATTTCTATTTTCCATTCTTCACTCAGAATATTTCTTTTGTTGTTGTTGAGACTGGAGGGTAGTAAATGTTGTTCAGGCTGGCGTTGAATTCTCTTATGTACCCCAGACTGGCCCCAGCCTTCTGAGTGCTGGGATTACAGACATATGCCACCACACCCAGCTCAAATTACATATTTCTTGAGATCATGGTGTTACCATCCATAAGCAAAAGTTACTGTCCAATATATGCAGAAAGTACCTATAAATAAAACATGCTAATAAAACTGGCAAATGATACAAATAGGCAAATAATAGAAAAAAATAAAATGTGGCTTTATAGACAAAATGTAACAGGTAATACTTAATGATCATTTACCATATATGCTATATATTAAGGTAAACTCTTTGCATACTACTTGACCCTATAAAATATAGAAATTATTAACACTTTCCCATTGATGAACATAACTTGCCTAAAGGCCCAGATATAGTAAGTAACAGAGTCAGGTTTTATGATTATGATCATTATGTTATGCTGTCTCCTGAAGAATTAAAAAGTACTTGAGAGTAATCAGGGAAAATGCTTACCAATAAATATTCAAAAGATTAAGTATTAGTGAAAGTATATGCAGTGACTATATTGTAAAGATTCATTACAATAAAAGACATTATCATTCATGAGTGTTTTTAATTGCATTGTTGTTGCCTTGAGTCCTGATTGAGTTAAAAATATTTACCTTTCATGGTCATTTTGACTTTGGAGAAGAATCAGAATCACGAAGTGCAGATCCAGTTATTAAAGTGAATGAGGATACACTGTAATGTTTTTATGAGCCCACCTTTCTGTTGGATGCCATTGAGAAGTACCACTTACCATATTTTTTTACCATGCTCTGTAAAGACACTCATGAAAGAGGTCTTCCAAACCTGCTTCAGAAAGTGGCAGGAACAGTGGGATAAGTGTATTTTAAGTGAGAGGGAGTTTGCGGGAATGGTTAATTGAAGTGTGTCTTTTACTATAATACATTTTTTTAGAAACTTGAATACTCACCATATATTTTGATTACATCTCATCATTAAAATACTTAAAAGGTTCCACATGACTCACAATATTGTAAGGGAAAATTATATTTTAAATGTTTTCTTTATATTAATATGTACATGTATCTCTTTTTTTTTTTTAGTACCTGTTTGAAAATGGTAGGATAGATAACATTTTTACTGAGCCCTATTCCAGATTTATGATTGAACTTACCAAACTTTTGAAAATATGGGAACCCACAATACTTCCTAATGGTAATATGGATTTTTATTTTGATTGTTTTTAAGATGTGCTTTGTAAAAATTCCTTGTGTTTTATGATTATCTTTTAAACATTGTTTATATGTTATGTTTGTCCTCATTTATAATATATTTGAGAAGAAAGTCTTTGGTTTATTGTTGAATCTTTTAGGAAACCATAGCTTCCATGCAATGCATATAATTGCTCAAAGTATAATTGAGGTTACATTTACCTTTTCAGAAACCTTTTTCTGGTAGTGTTAATAAGACTGCACGCACTGCCATTATTGCCACATATTCTGCTTGCTAGCAGTGGGCCTTTTCCAGTACTTTTCCCCTGAACTGTCTTTATCCCTGAATTATCTCTGACCTTTTGACATCAAAGACCTGTAGTTAACTTATTTCAGCCTTCTTCACTGTGATTGAATATTTGAGTGTCATGCTCCAGAATATAATTTCTCTTTCTGTTGGACTGCTGAGCACCTTTGATGCATTCTAAGCACTATGGTTGTTTGATGCGCTTAACATTCAGAGAATAGGGTAAGGAGGTAGATATAGAAGTAATAGAGTTACATTTGGGGGTAATCACCAAGAATAGAATGCAGAAGTAGCAACAAAGAAGACTGAGGAGAGAACATTAGGGAAGGCCTATATATTTAAGGGGCATCGTTAGGAAAGTGAAGTGAAAGGTACACTTCTTTAATTCTTCCACAACACCTCTACATTTCAAGAAAAATCTTAGATAAATCACCATGAATATAAATTTAAAACAAGTTTTATAGGGAAGACCATCTACTGTGTTGATCTTAGCTACCAAACCAGCTGATGATGAAGCTTTATGATCATGACAGAACTGAAAATTACTGCCCATGGGCCACATCAGGCCTGTTTCCTGTTTTTGTAGTCCATGAGCTAAAAATTAATTTTATATTTTTAAATTGTTGGAAAGGACTATAGAATCAATGTTTTTGATATGAAAATTATATGAAATTCAAGTTTTGTCTATAAAGTTTACTGGCATGCAACCATATCTCTTTACTTTTATGTATCATCTGTGGCTCCATATTTTCCAAAACAAAGTTTTTTGGACTTTCTGTGGCCCACAAAGCTTAAAATAAATATACTCTCTGGCCGTTCACAGGGAATGCTTGTCACCCCAAACTAAAATAATAATAGATTGGAACAGTTCACTCTTCAGGGGTGACTTAGTGTCTACTTAGAATTCTCTGCCTTTTTCTTTATCGTGTTTCGCCTGTTTGAAAGGAAAAGAGAGGCACAATCATTCTTTCCTTTCGTATCTCCCTGTCCTAGAATTTGAGAGATTATGTAAGTCTGTGTATTAGGAGCTCAGTATTGTTTCTTCCCCCTTTGGTCTAGGTTACATGTTCTCTCGTATTGAAGAAGAGCATTTGTGGGAATGCAAACAGCTGGGCGCTTACTCACCAATCGTCCTCTTAAACACCCTCCTTTTTTTCAATACCAAATACTTTCAACTAAAGAATGTTACTGAGCACTTGAAACTTTCCTTTGCCCATGTGATGAGACGGACCAGGACTCTAAAGTACAGTACCAAGATGACATATCTGAGGTTCTTTCCACCTTTACAGAAGCAAGAGCCAGAACCAGGTGTGTGGTGGTCTGTGACATACTGTTAGAAGTCTCGTTAAATACTGAAACTCTTACTGTGGAGAATTGTAAATTGTAGACACAGAAAAGTGTTATTATAGCTTTCTTTTATCATTTAAATGTTTTTCTTTATTGTCAAGAGTATGTTAAATGCTTGAATCCTTTTCTTCAGTATACTTTTATTGTCTTTTAAATTAAAAGTGCTGATTTAATTGCATATAACCTAAATAATCTGTGTTTTAAAACTAAAGGAATTTAAATGTACAACCATGGTTGAGAGTCACCAGATAAGTTAATTTCTTGTTAAAATAAACAATATTTAATGCTTAGTTTGTTGTTCCTAAATATTTTTTAGACCAGGGCACTTTTTTTTAGTTAATATTAAAAAATTCTGAAACACCTTAAAAGCTGGCCTGTAGCATACGGTAGACTAAAGTCAGCAGTAGCAGTTTTATTAGATGTTTCTGATTTAAAGTCTGTTAATAAATAAGAGCTTATTTTTAATATTTTAAAATTAACATTTTGGGCTAAGTATGGTGGCACTTGCCTGTAATCACAGCACTTAGTAGGCTGAGGTGGGAAGATCCTTATGAATTTGGGGCCATCCTGGTTCCCACAGTGAGTTCAAAGCCAGCCTGAACTACATAGCAAGACTGTATCTTAAAATTATATATACAGTGGTACTTCAGTTCACAAACTTGATTCTTTTGACTGTTCTGTCACAAATTGAGTTGAATGAGAAATGAATTAAATTCAGTGGTTGGTTCAGTGTTGACTTTATGGGCAAATTTGATTCACTTCTCATTCAGTTCTTGATTTGCAGCCAGGATCACGGAGAGAATTGAGTTCATGAGCCACAGCACCATTGTAGTGTTTCTAGTTGCATAGAACTAGCAATTAAGCTTATTAATTTTGACCAGAACTCTTAAGTTCTGAAAGTCTCAAAATTAAATTGTTGTAAAAGTGAAATGTGTTTTATGAATGTGAAAATTTAAATTTTTTTTCAAGATAGTGTATCATTCGCCACTCTATCATTCGCTGGCCATGAACTCAGTTCTTCCTGCCTTAGCCTCTTGAGTAGCTAGTACTTACTACTTTACCTTATGAAAATTTAAAATTCATGAAACTAAAATCTGTAAATAACTGTGTTGTGCAGCTTCATATACACTTTTTCAGATTGCTGCTTCAAAAAATATTTAAGATTGTCTCTTTCACCTAATTGTCTTTGTTTTATTTTCTTAGTTTCCTTAATTTATAATCTACTTTGTGCTCTAAATTGATATTAGAGGAAGAACAGATACTCAAGGAATGTTTCTGATTAAGTTTGATAAGGTTGATAGTAAGTTCCACTTGTTTTCTGAATAATGGTCAGTCTTTCCATGTAAGTGCCTCTAAATAGAAAACTGGGGAGAGTTTTGTAAAGTAATGGCGATAGAAAACTGAGGCAATTCCTAACCCAATGAAGTTAAGCTAGGTATACTATAAGGACACTGAAGTAGAAAACTTTCAAGTTCAAAGCCAGACCTGGGCAGTTTAGCAAGACCCTGCCTCAAGAAACAAAAACAAAGATATAAAGCAGAAGAATATTTTATTCCTTGGATATGCAGGTTCACCTAATGTTTTCTTATGAAAGAAACAGGCTGCTTTCTATGTTTTCATACTGGCTGATTTCTAGTAACTCTTGGCGTCTACAGAAGTCTTTTAATGAGCAAGGATTTGTTCTTCTTTTATCAAATGATTAACTCCTGAGAACTTTGCCTAAGCAGTATGCTTTTATTGAGTGCTGTAAGTATAGCATTTAGTATAATATTTAGTACTTCCACAGGAGCCCAGTAAATATTTGCTGAATGAGTGACTGAGTGAAAAAGGACTGACAAAGTTCTGGCAAAGCTTATTGAGTCTCTTGAGACTTGAAGAATAATAGACCTTTCTAAAATAATCCTTTGATTATCATTTCCTGTCTTAAGATAAACTAACTATTGGCAAAAGGAAACGAAATGAAGATGATGAGGTTCCAGTGGGTGTGGAGATGGCAGAGAATACTGACAACCCACTGAGATGCCCAGTTCGACTTTACGAGTTTTATCTATCAAAATGGTAAGTGACTGTCCTCCATGCTAGGTATAGTGCATCTCGGAACTTAGGTAACATAGATTGGATTTTAAATGCTTGAATAGTAGAAATGTACCTATAACCTTACAGATTTTCCTCCAGTTTTATTTTTTTCTTCATTCTCATACCTGACTAGATTTTGAACTAAGAAATCATCTATCTTGATTTTTTTTTTCCCCCAAAAAAAATGTCTTCAGGAAAATGTTCAAATGAGAAGGGCACAGGGAAGAGGAGGGGGAATGGAAAGAAGGGACCAAAAAAAAAAAAAAAAGACTAGAAAGAAAAAATGGAAACAAAGCTTTTTTAAATAAGGGTTAAAGAGGTTAAAGAGAGGGAAATGGGGAAAAAAGAAGCAGGATATATCATGTACAGGTACAAATTCTCTATAATGAATGTGATCATTATGTATATTTAAAATGTACCAATAAAATTTCTAAAAAGCCAAAAAAATCTTCAAAAAGCAAGAATCATTGCTATTTTACCTTTACAAGTGTTATTCAACCTTTATGTGACAACTAGATTTATAGTGATCTATTATTTAGACAGTAAAGCAATTCTAAAGGGAGGGTATTTTGCCAAACCTAAAGCAACTTAATAGAAAAACAACTTTTAAGGAACTGAAAATGTTTAATTGGTCATTTTCTTAGAGAAAATTTTTGAATATAAAATTACATGACTCATAGTAAATAAAGAATTTTTTGTTTAAAGGAATATGTTGGCTGTGTTTGCCCAGTTGTATATAGTGCCTTTAGGTTTCATTGTAGGCTGCTGGGCATGGTAGTGCATGCCTATAATCCCAGCACTTGGGACACTGAGGCAGGAGAATCTCTGAGTTCAAACCAGTCTGGGCTACATAGTGAGTTCAAGGACAGTCTGAACTACATAACAAGACCCTGTCTCAAAAAAAAAGAAAGAGGAAAAAAAGGTCTCATTGTAGGATATGGGGACATAGGATATACTGTTCTCAGCTATAGTAATCAAATGTGAGTTAACTTTTTTGTTGCTCTTATGAGAGCTAAAGTTTGTGATTTATTCTTTGCCTTCTGTTAACATACTTACTTCCAATCCACTGTGACTTCACACTTGTGAGTGTGTGACAAAAGATATGGAGTTATATTTTACATGTTACTCCTGGGAGGTAAATGCTTAAAGCCTTACTTATCTCTGTGGTTATGTTGTTTATCTGTGAGTCACAGTGGGGAGAAGTAGAAAACCATTATATTAAAGAATAGTTCATATTTTCTGTACTCTCTGATCCTCAATTTTCTTTCTTTTTTCTGTTTTCTGTGGATAGTTCTGAAAGTGTGAAGCAGAGGAATGATGTGTTTTATCTTCAGCCTGAGCGCTCCTGTGTCCCGAATAGCCCCATGTGGTACTCCACATTCCCGATAGACCCTGGTACCCTGGATACCATGTTAACACGTATTCTCATGGTGAGGGAGGTACATGAAGAACTTGCCAAAGCCAAATCTGAAGACTCTGATGTTGAATTATCAGATTAAGATGGAAGTGAAGTTCCTATTTTCATACACATTGGTATGCACCAAACTGTGAATGCATCCAGCTGCTGGAAAGCGATGTATAAGTCCAAGTCCTCTTGACTTGATTATGAGACAATGGGAAACAGATGACTCGTGAACCACAGTGTGGATGTACAAACAAAAATTGAAGGAAAGAGTACGAACTGAGAAATATTCTTTGGCAGTGAAATAGTTGTTAGATGTCTTCAGAATGACTAACCAATTTCTCTGAGTGGTGCATAATCTTATTTTGTTTGGGAATAACAAATTGTGGAATATTTTTAAGGAAAACTGTTGTATAAAACTCTACCGTAGTAACCTTAGACCTTAGAGGGGTAGCTTTGGAGTGAGACCTTGGCTACAGTAGGCTATATGAGCAAGCCTTACCATAAAAGTCAGGGGTGAAGTCAGTGCAGAGCTGGGGGTAATATCCTATGAGGACTGTGGGACCCAGACTTGGAGACCCAATAAAATTACTCAACTTTTCTTAAAAGATAGTGAAGTGGTCTTGACTTTGATTTTCACTGCCAAGCCAATTATGTGAAGGATAGAAGCCGCGGGTGCTTTTACCATGGCCCCTCACATCAGGGAAAAATGACCTTCACTGCTGTTAACGTAGCATTGTGTCCCTTTACTTCCTGGGTCTGGATGTGGGTAAATTAGCATAAAGGGGATGATATTCCACAAACTAATTATGCACACAGAAATCTGTGGAGCCCATTAGACCCCAAGTGTCTTGAAATGTTTGTAGAAAACCCACTAAAATACCCACTTCTCTGGGTGTAGGCCTATTGCTGCTGTCTCATAGCCTCAGCTGTGGCGCACAGAAATGGGGCTTTCCTTTTGTTTTCAATTTTTCCCCAGTGGCAGCTTTTCTCCCATTGTTTTAGCTTCCTATTTCCAAATGATTCCTTTTATTTTTCTTTTGCACCAGTTTTTGGAGGCCCTTGTCATTTCAAAAGAAGTCATTTAACTCTGGAAAACTTGTGAGTGATTCCCCAAAGACACAGTATTACTTAGCTATCAAAATTATGGTAGTAAAGGTCTTAGTAGGTTTCTGTGAAAAGCATTTGGATGATGACCTTGATGCCCTAAGAAACTTGAAAAATAGGAATTCTGGGGTGAGCATAGAAAGACATTGACTGTCTTGCTTATCCATAGGACTTTTATAGCATTATTCCAAACTAGCTGTTTTAGTAGTTCTATGAGGATTGCAAGTCATAGGCGTGTGTGGCATATCAGTTCATCTCCCTCATCTCCATTCTTAGTTTCTTCCCCACAAAATTTGAATCAAAACTTTTATGATGGCCAGGCATGGTGGTGCACGCTTGTAATCCAGTACTTGGGATGCTGAGGCAAGAAAATTGCTGCAAGTTCAAGACCAACCTGGGCTACAAAGTGATTTAAGGCCAGCCTGAATTGCATAGTGAAACTTTGTCTCAAAAAATCAAAAAAGAAAAGAAAGAAAGAAAGAAAAAAGCATTTACGGTGTTGGCCAATCATAGAACCTGGTTAGCTGAGGTTAATATGACCTTACCTAAATTGAAAAGTAACAAGTCATTTTAGAAAAAGTTTAACCTTGAAAAACTTTCCAGTATTTCCCATATTTTAGGTGGGAGTGGCAAGTGTTACTATTTTTTTTGAACAAATGAAAGTCATTTAGCTACAAAAAATTTAAAAGGGGGCCTTTTGACATTGTGTACTTGATGGATCTGTCCCTTTTCCTGTAATAAATCCATTTTTGTTACCAAAAACTGTGTGAAAGAAGTAAATCTTCCCTGATTCTGTATGATTAATTCCATCTGTGTTTGTTATTTCTGACTGGAAAACTTTTTACTTCCAGACCTTGTTCAGTTGGAGGAAAAATTGGATTGTCTGATAAGTCTGCCAATAAACCATCCAGAAACATCAGGCTAATAGTCCCACTATACTAATTTTATGGTTTGTATAAACACTAACATTTTCCCTGTCTGTAGTTGTATGAAAAAAATATTGTTAGTATAGTAGATAAATTGTTATAAAATACCAGAACGAACAAAAAAAAAAATCTGTATCTTTTAACTGAGAACAACCAGTACCCAAATAAATGACTGTATCAGCGTTTAAACTGCATGTTAGTACACAGGTTGCCCAGAGCCCTAAACTAATTCGCAGAGAAAATAATGATTAGTTATTGGTCATTCCTCATAAGTGTAGCTGTTGATGTTGTGTCTAATTATTTGCATTTTTTGTTATTAAAATTGTATAAAGTTACTTTTTTTTCCCCTAGGAAGAAAGTCAAAGAAGCAACATCTAATCATTCTTTTCTGTTCTTTTGGTTTTTAATCACCTTTGGGTTTCCCTTTGCCAAAACCACAGAAATATTCCCTTAGAATAAAATAGTATATTTGTATTTCATGGGTGAGTTCTTTTTCTTTTTGTCTTGAGAGAACTTAAAATATATTTTTCTATTTGACCTATTGGCATGACTTAACAAATAGTAAAATTATAAATAAAAGAACAGTTTTCAGAAAAGAAATAACTGATTTTTATTTGTTCAGTAAACATACTGTTTTATTGCAGTCTCTCAATTCCCTTTTTTATCAAAAAATTTCTTTCCATTTTTAGTTAATATATATTGAAAATCTAGCAGCTAGAAATGTCAAATGTTACGTGTGTATTTTATTTCAGACAAATTTTTTTGAGGTGTACAAAGCTTGTATCAGTTAAATTTTTAATAGTTTTTAAATTATGAGATTAGAATAAATATGTCCATTCTGAAGTAAATACAAATGCATATTTAAATTAGCAATATAAGACTAAATGGCATTTTCCTTAGTCTCTAGAGTTGTTTTGATACTATACAAATATACCTCCAAATTTCATGTAGGCTTTTTTTTTTTTTTTTTGTCTTTGTCTTTGATACAGGGTTTCACTATGCAGTTCATGCTGGTTTGAGCTCACTTTGTAGCCCAGGCTGGTCTCAAACTTGTAATGATCCTCTTGCCTCAGCCTCCTGAGTGCTGGGATTACAAGTATGCACCACCATACCTGGCTTATACAAGCCATTTTTATGTTTTGTGGCATTCTTAATTTTGAAAAGAAGTTTTCAAAAAATAGTCTTAATGTAAAAAGAGTTTATGTGAATGAGTCTTGCAGGTTTTTTTTTTTTTTAATTAAACTTAAACTTTAGTTTTCCATGTGAATGAAAGGAGCCGTTATGGTGTGAATTAAAATTTTAAGACAGCATTAACCAGTTATACCTCTTAATTCTTCTGTGCTGCTCATATCTATTATCATACTTTGTTATGATTGTTGGAAAAAATTTTAATTGAGAGGCATTACTGTTTAGACCAATCATAGGCTTTGGAGCCTAATCTTTCACTTACTGTTTGTATATTTTACCCTCTCTCAGCTTCAGTTTCTCATCTATAAGGTAGATATCATAATATTCCCAAAGATACTATAGTATTCCTCTTGCGCCTGGCACATGATAGGCTTTAATATATCGTAACATACCCAAAGAATTTTCACTAAATTCAACACTGTGGATTCTCCAGTACATAATATTCAGTCAGTTCTGTATATCTGAAGCATGCATGTGTGTGTGTGTGTGTGTGTGTGTGTGTGTGTGTGTGTGTGTGTGAGAGAGAGAGAGAGAGAGAGACACAGGTGATTGAATCTGCTAGGTAAGTGATCTCCCACTGGGCTACATCCCTAGTCCTTTGCCTTTCCTTTTCTTTCCTTTTTAAAAAAATTTTTCTTTTTTTTTTTTGCATTTTTCCTTTTTATCAGTACCAGGGATCAAACTCACGACTGCCTGCTTGCAAGGCAGGCACTTATGCCGCTGAGCTAAATCCCCAGCCCCAAATTTTTCTTTTTTTAAATTCATTTTTATTTTTATTTTTTTGAGACAAGGTCTTACTTAGTTTCCCAGGATGGCTATGAACTTAAGATCATTCTACCTCAGCTTCCCGACTAGCTGGGATTATAGGCATACTACTGTGACTGGTTTGAATCAAATACTAAGTATGACTGATAGAATTTTGGCACGGCTGAAAAGATAAGTATGAAATATAAATGACCTTTATTTTAAGAATGTGGAGAGAGACTCCATGACCTTGGGGTCTGGCATTCTCTCTGCCCGACTCTTGGTACGGGGGGCATATATATAGCTTAGGTTTGGGGTGTTGCCTAAGGGGCCATTAGTGATGCACAGGTAGCCCATTGGTATTCATTTTGCACCACAGGTAAATTCCTAGGGGCAGGGAAGATGACCTCAAGATAGAGCCTCTTGGTTCCGCCTCCAAGGCTTTACCAGCTACAGTGTCTGGCCTAGGGCAAGATTCTTTCAATGACTAAATACTATCCTACAATAAAATCATGAATTCTCCACTGGGACTTCAGTTTGTCATTGCCAGTATCATAAAATCAATTGGTATAGTTCCTTGCGTTGAGAAAGAGAAAAAGAATTGTATGATATGGCAATAGATACAGAAGTAACGTAATTTTTTGTTGTTGTTTTGTAGTACTGGGAATTTAACCCAGGCCTTTGCACTGAGCTACATACTCAACTCTTTATTTTTGTCTTTTTTTCAAGTATTTTTTTTATTAGGATCTAATTCACATATCACAGAGTATACCCTTTAAAGTTGTTCGTTTTAGGGCTGGACATGGTGGTGCACACCTATAATCCCAGCACTCAGGAATCCAAGATACTATCACCAGGAGTTCAAGACACCTAGCTTCGGACTACATAGTTCAAGGCCAGTCTGAATTATAAGACTGTGTCTCAAAAAATCCAAAAACTTAGGGGCTGGGGATTTAGCTCAGCGGCATAAGCGGTTGCAAGCAGGCAGTCCAGAGTTCGATCCCTGGTACTGATAAAAAAAAAAAAAAAAAAAAAAAAAGGAACAAACGAAAGATCTGCAACTGTGCAAGCTCAGAGCCATACCCACTTAACACTGAAAATTTATAAGCTGGTTGGTAACCACCAGCCCCCTAGATACAGACTCCTCTATGGCCCATGTCTAGGCCTGTGCCACAGACTCAAGCAAACAACCTTATATTTCCCAGCCAACTTTATGTTTTATTTTGATAGAAAGTCTCACTGAATTGCCTAGCCTGGGTTCGAACTTGTGATTCTCCAGTCTCAACCTGCCAAACTGGAATTACATGTATGTGCCACCATGCCAAGCTTCATAGAGTTTATTTTTTAATCGAGGGTAAAGCCTTAGTCTGCAAAACTTCTTTTAGTTGGTTATGGTTATATGTGATCACGTAAGGAACAAGAGTGACCATGGGAATAAATTTTGACCAGTGGAATGGAAGAAGTGAATTTATAACAGCCTCAAAAGGAAGACATGTGGTTCGCCTCTATTTCTCCTTCCTTATAGACTAGAATGTGAGTGTGGTCATGACAAACCAGTTCTACTGATAATGGGAAGGGCAGCATAACAGAAGCACATTCACCTCCTGGACAGAGCCACCTGTTTTTCTCCTGGACTTAAGAGCTCAGACCTTCACATAAGGAATAAACTCCATTAAATTAAGGCATTGTTATTTGGTCTCTTTAAAAAAGAAAGTCAAGTCCCTACCCTAATTAATATACTCACTATGTTCACTGTCCCATTACACTTCACAGAATGAGAAGTTCTCATATAAGTACAGAAAAAAAATAGAGATTATCTTATCAGAAGGTGAGAAAACATTAATTTTAAGTCATTTTCAAGTGTTTATGAACATCTGGGTATAAGGAAAAGAATCAATGCACTTTTAAAACAGTTCAAGTTGTTTGTTAGATACAAAGTTAGTAAGAATTTCAAGCATTTTTCTAAAGAGCAGTAACCTAAGAGGTACATACTTGCAAGTATGGTGCAAATAATTGAAACTGGTGTACATCTGTAATTGCAGCTTTTGGGAGGCTGAGGCAGAGAATTACATATTTGAGTTCTGCCTAGGTAATGTAGTTATTTAACAAGACTCTGTCTCAAAATGAAAAATAAAGTACTGGAGATGTAGTGTGAAGACCCTGGATTCAGTCCCCAATACCAGGTAGAAAGCATAGAGGGTATCTCGAGATGAAAGATAAAATTGTAGAGTTAAAAGAGAATACAGGAGAATATTATTGTGAACACAGTGCAGGGATGGGTTCTTACATAATCTCCCAACTGTAAATCATAGTTAGTAAACAAAAGATTAATTTTACTGTATCAAAATTAAAATATTTTGTTTAATAAAGGATTAAGGCTCAAGAAGATACTTGCAATGTTGAAATCCGCCATATGTTTAGAATATACAAAACACTACTGACTCTGAATTTGAGTGATTTTGCTATTGATTTCTAGATTCCTCTATGATCTGATTATATGTAGGGAATTATTTTGGTTGTGTAGTATTTATATAAACATGCTTATATAAATAGACCTAAGATATGCTCTATTTTGGGAAAAGTGTTTTGCTGAGAAAAATGTATGTCTTGTTGGATGAAACATTGTGTATCTGTTAAGTCCACTTGTTTAGTGAGGTGGTTTTAATATTACTTTGTTGAATTTCTTTTGTCTAGTTAATCTGTCTGAAAGTGGAGTGTTGAAGTCCCCTTGTGATTGTATTAGTGTCTGTCTGTCCTTCAAAGTCCAGTAGTTTGGGTATTTGTTTTAATTAAATTGGGTGTACCCCCATTAGGTTCATAGATATTTAAGGGTTGTTATCTCTTTGTGTTGAATTGTTCCCTTTACCGATGTGTAGTGGCCATCTTTGTCTCTTTTCATCGGTTTTGGCTTGAAAAGCTATTTCTCCTTGTTTTCAGTCTGCAGTTGAATGGACTATTGATGGGCATTCTTTCACTTTCAGTCTGTGAACTTCCTTTTGGATGAGGTGTGTCCCCTGTAGGCAATATCTGGTTTCATTTTGTTTTTTGATCTAGTCTGCCTGTCTGTGTCTTTTGATTGGGGAGTTCAGACTACTGACATTGAGAGTTATTATTGTAAGGTGTTTATGAAATCCTGTCATTGTGTGTTTTTCTAGTGCTGATATTTTTCCCCTTTGTTTACTCTCCCAGTTAGATGTATGCTTTCCTCGGGCTCTTTGTTATCAGTAGTCTCCCTGTCTCTGTCTACAATTCCTTTATGTATTTTCTGTAATGTAATGTAGGTTACCATTGAGTTTGTAATCTGTATCTACTTTGTCTTCTTTCTGTGATGTACTGTCTTCACATTGGTTAAGTCTACTACCCATGCTTTCTGTTGAGTTTGGTTTTGGTTTTGGTTTTTGTTGTTGTTGAAACAGTCTCTAGTGGTTCAGGCTGGCCTTGAACTCACTGTGTAGACCAGGCTCGTCTCAAATTCAGAGCCATCCTCCTGCTTCAGCCTCCGGAGTGTTGGGATTATAGGCATGCCCCACCATGCCAGACTCTCAAT